GACAGTGGGTAGGGTATGTGCTATGGTGAGCGTTGTGAATTGTGCAAGACTGTTGAATCACAGATCTGTCCTTCTGAAACAAATAATGCAACATATGTTAAGAAAAAAGAAAAAGAAGAAGATAGCAGGAGGGGAAGAATGAAGGGGAGTAAGTCAGAGGGGGAGACGAACCATGAGAGACGATGGACTCTGAAAAACAAACTGAGGGTTCTAGAGGGGAGGAGGGTAGGGGGATGGGTTAGCCTGGTGATGGGTATTAAAGAGGGCACATTCTGCGTGAAGCACTGGGTGTTATGCACAAACAATGAATCATGGAACACTACATCAAAAACTAATGATGTAATGTATGGTGATTAACATAACAATAAAAAATTAAAAAAAATTGGGTGTATAGCTTGCATACAGTAAAATTCACCCTTTTAGGTGTACAGTTCAGTGAATTGTGACAAATATAATGGTGTACCCACCAACCCTATCAGGATATAGAACAATTCCATATTCCAAAAATTTCATTTGTGTTCACTGTTGAAAACACATTCTTTTTTTAAAAAATATTTTATTTATTTATTTGACACAGAGAGAGAGAGAGAGCACAAGCAGGGGGAGCAGGCAGAGGGAGAGAGAGAAGCAGGCTCCCTACTGAATAAGGAGCCCGATGCGGGACTTGATCCCAGGACCCTGGGATCATGACCTGAGCCGAAGGCAGACGCTCAACCAACGGAGCCACCCAGGTGCCCTTAAAACACATTCTTAACAAAATTTCAACCCTCCTGATATTCTTTGTTTTTAAATCCATATCAATTTGGCAGAATCTTTACTGTTTTAACATTTAACACTTTAAAGATATGATCCTAAAGTAACCTATATACTGCATTTGAAAATTGGCCTAATTTCTTAATCATTGTAAATTATAAATATAGAAAGGGGATAATTTTTAAAGTTTAAACTTTATGCTAAAATAAATTGTTGATAAAGGGAAGATTTAAATATAAACAATTAAACCATAAAAGCACAATAAAACACTATAGGGATGAACACTTTAAAAAACCTTGTAGTGATATAGAAAAGGCTTTTATAGGAGGAGCAAGATGGCGGAGGAGTAGGAGACCTGGATTTCGTCTGGTCTCAGGAATTCAGCTGGATAGGGATCAAACCATTTTGAACACCTACGAACTCAACAGGAGATCGAAGAAGAGAATAGCAACAACTCTCTGAACAGAAAAGTGACCACTTTCTGGAAGGTAGGACGTGCAGAGAAGTGAATCCAAGGCAATATTTGGGAAGATAGACAGCGGAGGGAGGGAACCTCCGTCAGCCGCTACTGGCAAGTGATAGAGCCATGGAGCACAAAATCGGAAATTTTAGAAGTCTATTCCACTGAGGGATGTTGCTCCAGTGGCAAGTGGGGGTTGGGGGGGTTGGAACCTGACAGTGTGGTCTCAGGACCCTCGGGGTCACAGAAATCAGGGGGTGCCTGAGTGTGGCAGAGCTCCCAGGTATGGGAGCAGGGAAGCTGGCTGCAGAGACAGAGCTGAGGAGTGGGCTCTCAGCTCGGGGTTGCCATAAACCGTGATCCGGGGCACAGTCTGGCCACTTCTCTTCCAGCAGGGACCCAACAAGTGGCAGATCCAGGGAGACTCCCCTCCCCCCCCCCGGGAGGAGCAGCCCGGGAGCGCACTGCAGGAATCGGCTGGGTTTGGAGACTCCAAACGGGGTCATGTGCCAGAGATAGAAATGCTTGGTCACAGGCTGGGTGAGCACGGAGTGTGGGCAGAGACCGGGGAGTTGGGAGTGTTTGACTGCTTTTCTCTGGGGGCGCACTGAAGAGTGGCGCCCCGAGTTTTCAGCTCCTCCAGGGCGGAGATTGGGAGGCCGGCATTTTCACTCTTGTCCTCCAAAGCCGTATGGAAAGCTTGCAGGGAACAAAAGCTCCCAAGAGCAAACCCGAGCAGATTACTTAGCCCAGACCCGGCAAGGATGGGGCAATTCCGCCTCCAGCAAAGACATTTCAGAACCACTGTGACAGGCCCCTGCCCTAGAAGCAAGAGCAGCCAGCCAAGACCAAGTTTACCGATCAATGAGAATGGCAGAACTCCAGCAATAGGGGAATACAGCACATAGAATTCATGGCTTTTTTCCCATGATTCTTTAGTCTTTCAAAGTTCATTTTTTAAATTTTCTTTTTTTTCTTTTTCTATTTATTTTTGAATTTTTCTTTTTCCCTTTTCAACCAACATCTTATCAATCCCTTTTTACAATATCTTTTTTATTTTTCATTTTTAGAGTCAAATTCTATCCCTTCATTGTAGTTAACCTTATTTTTGGTATAT